ATGATATGATTGTCAAAGCCAAGACCGAGGAGGAACATATTAAGAATTTGGGGAAGCTCTTTCAAAGATTAAGGAAGTGTCAACTAAAGCTGAACCTAAATAAATGTACTTTTGGGGTGACATCGGGAAAGCTGTTGGGATTCATAGTGAGTCGAAAAGGAATTGAAATAGATCCAGATAAAGTAAGAGTCATTCAGGATTTTCCACCCCCAAGAACACAGAAAGAGGTTTGAGGATTTTTGGGGAGATTGAATTATATAGCCTGATTTATCTCACAATTGACTGAGAAGTGTGATCCCATATTTCGCCTTCTGCGGAAGAATAACTCAGGAGAATGGAGTGAAGAGTGTTAAGAGGATTTTGAGGCGGTAAAGAAATATTTGTCAAATACTCTGATACTAGCGCCACCCATCTCGGGTAAGCCTTTAATTCTTTACTTGTCGGTTTATGACAATTCAATGGGGTGTGTATTGGGACAACATGATCAAATTGAGAAGAAAGAGAGAGTTATCTATTATCTCAGTAAGAAGTTCACCGAATGTGAAACTAGATATTCACCAATTGAAAACCTGTGTTGCGCTTTAGTATGGGCTACTAGAAGACTCAGACAGTATATGTTGTATCATACTACGTGGATCATATCCAAGCTGGACCCTTTGAAGTATCTAATGGGTGTACCTGCATTATCTGGAAGATTAGCTCGTTGGCAAATCCTGTTATCCGAATTTGATATCCAATATGTAAGCCAGAAGGCCGTTAAGGGGAGTGCCATAGCAGAATTCATTGCGAGTAGAGCTTCTGAAGAATATGAACCGTTGAACTTTGATTTTCCAGATGAGGATTTAATGGCTATCTCGGAGGAAGAAACAATTTCACCCACCACTATATACTGGAAGATGAAATTTGATGGTGCTTCAAACGCCTTGGGGCATGGGATTGGGACAATATTGGTTTCACTGGATGAGGATCATTATCCATTTACCAGTCGGCTCAATTTTGATTGTACAAATAATATGGCTGAGTATGAGGCTTGTGTTATGGGTATCAAAGCTGCTATTGAACTCAGAGTAAGAATACTGAAGGTATATGGGGATTCAGCTTTGGTAATTTACCAGCTCAGAGGAGAATGGGAAACAAAAGATCCCAAACTAGTGGAATACCATAAATTAGTCCTGGAACTTATTGAAGAATTTGAAGAAGTGACTTCCAATAACCTCCCCAGAGAATAAAATCAAATGGCGGATGCCTTGGCTACTCTGGCAGCAGCCTTTAAGATGAACGAGCATGTAAATATGATGCCCATTGAGTTGAAGGCTTATGAGTATCCAGCCCACTGCTTTAATGTTGAAGAAGAATAAGATGGAAGACCTTGGTACTATGATATTTTGCAATATATAAGGTATCAAAGTTACCCTGAACAGGCGACTGAGAATGACAAAAGGACCATTAGAAGAATGGCAGCAGGGTATGTGCTCGAAGGTGAAACCCTATATAAGAAAAGCATGGATCATGTCTTATTAAGGTGTGTGGACACTAAAGAAGCCAAAATAATTCTTGAAGAAGTACATGAAGGAATATGTGGTACCCATGCTAGTGGGTATATAATGGCTAAACAGATTATGAGATTTGGGTATTATTGGTCAACTATAGAAACTGACTGCATCAATTATACCCGAAAATGTCACAAGTGTCAGATTTATGGAGATAGAATGCATACCCCTCCTCATCCTTTGCATGTGACGACAGCTACGTAGCCATTTTCTATGTGGGTCATGGATGTTATTGGGAAAATTTTGCCGAAAGCATCAAATGGTCATCGCTTCATTCTGGTAGCAATAGATTATTTCACCAAGTGGGTAGAAGCATCTTCCTATGCAAGTGTAACCCAGTCAACGGTATGTAAGTTCTTGAAGAAGGAAATCATCTGTAGATATGGCTTACCGGAGAGGATTATTTCTGAAAATGCATTGAACTTAAATAACAAGATGATGGACTCTGTCTGTGAGCAATTCAATATAAAGCATTATAATTCCACTGTTTATTGCCCAAAGATGAATGGGGTAGTGGAGGCGGCTAATAAAAATATTAAGAGGCTTATAGAGAAAATGACAGAGACTTATAGAGATTGGCATGAGAAGTGGTCATTTGCTCTGTTTGCCTATCGGACTTCAGTACGAACATCGACTGGGGCAACTCCGTTTTCTTTAGTTTATGGAATGGAAGCTGTCCTCCCTATTGAAGTGGAAATTCCCTCACTTCGAGTTTTATCAGAGGTGAATCTAAATGAGGCAGAATGGGTGCAAACCACATATGACCAATTGAATTTGATTGAAGAAAAGAGATTGAAAGCTATTTTTTATGGTCAGATGTACCAGAAGCGGATGATACGAGCACACGACAAGAAAGTTCGCACTCGAGAAATTCACGAAGGAGATCTGGTGCTCAGGAGGATATTGCCCATTCAAAAAGATTTCTGAGGGAAATGGATGCCCAAATGGGAGGGACCCTATGTTATCAGGAAAGCCTTTTCTGTGGGAGCTTTAGTCTTAACTGAGATTGATGGTTCATAATTACCCAATCCAGTGAATTCTGACGCATTTAAGAAGTATTTTACTTGAAGATGAAAAGATGGAAAAAAAAGAAGAAGAAGGAAAAAAAGAAAGAAAAAAAAAGGAAAAAAATAAAAATAAAAAAATGAAAAAATGAGGGATCAAGATGAAAAATCGAAAAGGGCGTCTTGAAATAAAGGAGGTCTCAAGTAGAAAACCCGCAAAGGGCAGCTTGAGTTTTAAGATTCAGAATTCATGTATGGTGAAGGTTCTGAATTGTTTTTGAAAGTGGAAAAGAGCTCCTGACATGGGTAGCAGCAATGGTAGTTGGTGATCAGGGTTGAGGCCAAAGATTAATGAGTCTCGATGGAAATAACCAGGAGAGAAATTGAATGCATATGAAGATTCAACACTGGTTTAGGGCATCCAATAATGAGAGATTTTGGAGTTCAGAAAAAGCTTCACACTCTTAGGCATCATCACAATTTTGGAAGTCCTTTTGACAGAAGCTACACTCGAGTTATTCTAACGGCGTGCCAGTTCAAAAGCATTTGTGTTATTGATATCTGAGGACGTCTATCCTTTTATTTTTCAAATCAAAGTTTGTCATGTAGTTGCCTAAAAATTCTCTGCATTTATATAAATAAAGATACATTTTTCCTTTTCAATTTCCCTTTTACAAGCATCTAATTTTGAAAAAGTTAAAACGCATAGCTTAGCTTGTGGTACATGAGATCATTTTGAATTGTTATGCAAAAGGTTTTGGAAAATGCAGGTATTCTGAAGCTAACAATGGTTTTAATATGTAAGCTTGTATGGTTGTGGGAAGCTAAAACCTGGGAATTCATAGAAAATCCCAGTCATTAATAGATGACCCAAAGATGTTGTCATTTATCAAGAAGATTGGTCATGGGTACCGGCAGGTTTCAAGAAAGAAAGAAGTCAAAGTTTTGTCAAGCCGAAAGTTATGGTATTGGGAGCGTCAACTGGGGTGAACTGGTCAAATACTCTATGCCCGAAATGAAATCGAGTTCCATTGAAATCAAAGGAGATGGTGTTCCTTCGAAAAAGAAAATACATTGAATTACATGCTTGCATACATTTTAGGCATGAATAGGATCATAACATTGCATGATGATTTAAAATAATCTACAGGTTTCCCAATGATAGTTGAAGATTGAAGATATTGAAGCATGAAGATGAGGATAACTAGTTTTGTGATCTTGAAGAGACTGATGACAACGATTGAGCCAGAGTGGATTCACGTATGTAAGGGCTCTCAAACAAGTTTTCGCGATGAAGACGAATTTTCAGAAATTTTCTTGAACTCTGAATTTTTGAGTATAATGTTTTGAAGAATACATTAATGATTGATAATGTTTGATATTTAGGTTCGACCTTCGAAGCAAATCAAACTTAAGCCATCACGAAAGAGTAGTGAAGCAAATCATCTGGAAGCTTTCATAAAGAAATAGTGAAGCAAATGAAGATGTCCGAGTTCTATACTCCCTAGAGAAAGAGGGAGCGAACCCGTTTGAAGAAGATGTCCGAGTTCTATACTCCCTAGAGAAAGAGGGAGCGAACCCGTTTGAAGAACATGTCCGAGTTCTATACTCCCTAGAAGAAAGAGGGAACGAACTCGTTTGAAGAAGATGTTCGAGTTCTATACTCCTTAGATAAAGAGGGAGCGAACCCATTTGAAGAATATATCCGAGTTCTATACTCCTTAGAGAAAGAAGGAGCGAACCCGTTTGAAGAAGATGTCCGAGTTCTATACTCCCTAGAGAAAGAGGGAGCGAACCCGTTTGAAGAATACGTTCGAGTTCTATACTCCCTAAAGAAAGAGAGAGCGAACACGTTTAAAGAAGATTGTTCGAGTCTTATACTCTCTGAAGAAATAGGGAGCAGACATGATTGTTGAAGATTGTTCGAGTCTTATACTCTCTGAAGAAATAGGGAGCAGACACGATTGTGGAAGATTGTTTGAGTTTTGTACTCTCTGAAGAAATAGGGAGCGAACACGATTGTTGAAGATTGTTCGAGTCTTATACTCTCTAAAGGAATAGGGAGCAAACATGATTGTTAAAGATATTTGAGTTCTATACTCACTGAAAGAAAGAGGGAGCGAACCCATCCCTAGAAGATTATTCAAGTTCTATACTCCCTAGAGAAAGAGGGAACGAACCCGTTTGTAGAAGATTCTTTTCAAATCTCACTCACCCTAAAATTACAATAAATTAGATTAATCGTTTGAATTTTTCATAACCAAAAAAATTTAACCATCTATTGATCTTTGCTCTATTCTCGTTACACGACAATGAGCAAAGAGAGACAACTGTAGACGCTCGATTTGTCTGGGGTCTTATTGGATGTTAATTCGAGTTTATTATTATTATTATTGTTAATATATATATATATATATATATATATATATATACATTAAGTAATTAATTAAATAAACAATTAAAATGCACTAATATTATTATTAATGGTATAGGCCTACATCAACTTAAAATAAGCTGGACCAGACAGGCCCAATTGCAAAAGAACCCTAAACCCGTTAGGGTTTTCTATAGAGAGGTTCCCAACGCCGCACGTTGTAGACCACAGGATTGAGTGCCCCTCATCTGATGGTTCAAGAAGAGTGATAGTAATTTTAGGGTTTTTTAAACCCTAAATATTCCATACGCAGCCCTATTCTGGTCGTTGGATCTGGCCTCATGATCCAACGGCTCACAACACGTCCAGAGCCCCGAAATAGTGCACCAGCCACTCACGCCTGTCGGTCACCCTTGAGTAGATCGAGTTCCGCCCATACTTGTCCCGATCACGCACATGCAACAGAATAAGGAAGCAAATAGAGATGGGGTTATGATAAAAAATAAGCATTACGAAGATTAAGGAAAAAGAAAACAAAAACAGATCATCATCAACTAAAGGGGGAAAGGAATCAAATTAAAAGATTTTTTTAGTGAGAATGAAAAGGGGGAGAACCTGAGAGTTAAAAGACCACGATCAACCAAATAACAAGAGGAGAGCAAAAAAAAATCGGTAGCCATTACCAACCATTAAAAGTCCATCAAGAACAAGAAAAGACCCAAAAAAATATACCCATTCGAATCTGTCTATCAACAGCCAAAAATTTTGAATCCGAAAATATCTAACAACAACCAGAAATTTTCGAAGGAGAAAGCAACACGACCCTTACCTACTTGAGCCGAGGAGAAGAACCATCAACGTCGCTTGAAGCCCAAACACCATTGAATCATTTGAGGGTAAGATTTTCGTGCTTTTGGGTCATGGTTAATTCATGATGTGTGGATGAGGGGTTCGGTTAGTATGGTTTCAAAAGGTGGTCTAGTTTTAAGGTTAGATTGTTATTTTAGAATCAGATTTCAGTCGGGTCTAGAGGCAGAGGTGAGTTCGTACCCATGGGTTTCCTCATCGGTGCCATAAGTGATGGTGGCCACGGCGGTCACCGTTTTTTTTTTTGTTAGGGTTGCAAAAAGGGGAGCTTGAAAGGGGTAGAGAGAAAACGGCTAGGGGTCTTTTTTCTGGTTTAAGGCTAAAGATAAGAATGAAAGCTAGGTCAAAATTTACCCTAAAAATCATATTTTAACACGCCAAAACGGCGCCGTTCAGAATGGGACCAAAACGGTATCATTTCAAAGCTGAGGGAAGTAAACTGTGTTTTAGGGTATTTGGTTTAAATGCGATGATGAGCCTGCTAGTTTCAAATTATTGTACTCTAGTCACTAAATCGAAGTTTCCAGGGTTTTAATTTGGTCTTCATATTTGTATGCGCCTTTCATTATAGTCCCAAAGATATGTTGTATTTCATTTTAGTTCATTTCGAATATGACTTGTCATTTATGTTACTTGATAATTTAGTCACTTAGCATGTTTGTTTAATTTAAGGAGTAATTTCCGCATTTAACCTGTAATATTTGTTTTGATAATTTTTGTCTCATACCATGTTTGTTTAATTTACTATTAGATTTACATTTTGAATTTTTTTTGGTATTTATTATTTTGGTTCTTTTGGGTAGTAATGAATAAAAATTATTGTCATAAGACCTTATTTTTGTTTATAATAAATGGCAGTATTGAATTCAAGATTTAGTCATTGGCAGTAGATTTTTTTTAAAATGAATGAGCCTTTTATTGTATATATGTATGTATTGTATAAGTGCCCTTTAATCTAGGTAAGATTTTAATAAGATAAATGTTATTTCAGTTGCTAATCAATCTAGAATAAGAACCCTTGTTGTATGAAAATATGATTAGGATAGGTTTAATAATTTTAAAATATTAATAATTGAAAATTTCCTTTAGTAAACAATTCATAAATGCATGTAAATATTTTTTATAGACTTATAAGTTTGTTTGAATGCATGGCATACTTTAATTAGTTTTTGCATGTTAGCCTCATGTGCATAGCTCGAGGTATTTACATAATTTAATTAAGGGTAATATCCTTTTAATTTAAAATTGTTTTAAGTGGGTTGTCTTAACTGATTAGATATCCGCTTTTGACGATTTTAAATTAAAAGTATATCCCATTAGTGACACCTAAGAAATTGATTTACCACTTTTAAAATTTGGGAACGGAAGAAAAAGAAATATTCGGCTATTTAAATTTATCGAGAAAAGATAGTTAGAACTTATCTAAGATCTGGTCTCGATATTTGTAAATAATCAAATATTCTTTATCTTTCTAAAGGCTTGGTAATTTTAATTTAATTTATTTTGGTGCTTTTGAATGTTGTAAAATTCATGTGTTGTTTTGTCGGGGATCATAAACCAAATTAAACTCGAATTTGTAAATTTCATTGCAAAGACATTAATTAATCGACGAGGTACCGATTTAGGGCGCTGTGGGGGTGCTAATCCTTCCCCACGCGTAACCGACTCTCGAACTCGAATTTTGGTAATGCAGACCTAAATTTGTTATTTTAATTAAAATTAATTTTTTATTTAAAATGACAAAACATTTTTGGGTGCCCAATCACACCCTAATCAAAGATTGGTGGCGACTCTTCGAACCCGTATTTTTATCATGAATGAATTCCCAAATTTTTGAAACGAGAGGTTTTCTAAAATCACATTGTTTTTAATTAAAAATCAATCGTCAAGAGAATAATTAAAAAAGATGCGGTTTTCAAAATCTCGCTCCCCCACCGTTTAAAAATCGTTTCGACAGTGTCGAGATTGCTCCAATACTCCCCTAATCTCCGGTGTTCTGCTGTAAGTATATAAAACCTTTATTATATCATGGTTCGTGTTTTTCCTTCGATTTGCAACTTTTGGAGTGAACTCCAAGCATTGAGGTATCTTCGTGATGAAAAAGGGAGTTGACAAGAAAACTCATTGAGCAAGCTGCGAAGAGGGACGTTAATGTGTTCTCTTTACCGGTGATCTTTTGATTTGTTTCGTGCATCTCATTTTGCAAGTGTCACTCAATTTGCAGCTAGATGCCTTGATCCATCCTTTCTTTGACGAGTTGTGCGATCCAAATGCTCGCTTACCAAATGGTCGTTTCCTTCCACCATTGTTTAACTTCAAACCTCACGGTAACGAATATTTGAGGAAAAAAAACATACATTTTCTTTGAAAAAATCTTTTTCGTGTATTGTGAAAGATGTATGATTGATTATAACAATGGTGATGTTATCGTGTCCACCAGAACTGAAGGGTGTTCCGGTGGAAATATCGGTGAAGCTGATTCCGGAGCATGCAAGAAAGCAATGTCCATCTCTTGGATTGTGATTTTGATGCAAAAGTGTATTATTGTCTTGATGTTTTGCTTATCTATGCAATTTATTGTCGTTGCATGCATGCATGTTATGTTGTTGAGTCACTTTTATGTAAAAGCAGACAGATTTAGACATGATCTTCCCACTTTTATATATTTGTAGAAATTGTAACATCCATGGTAGATGATGGACACCAACTTATGCCTACTTTCATATCTTGCTTGTATTTTTGTTTTTTTTTTTTTTCTGAAAAATGTACGTAGATTGCATTAGTCATAAATATATATATATATATATACTTTCTGAATAATCATAAGTTAAATAAGTTAAATATATCGGTGAATGACTAAAGACAACCTGATGAGCAACAACGTAAATGGGTGAGGTAATGATATCTTTGAGCATCAACCTGAAACAAATATTATAGAGAATCAACGGAATGTTGGGTATAAATGAACGAAGAAATCAGGCATCATGAACCAAGAAGAAAATTTGAAATTATCGGTAGCCACAATATAATTTACTTGAGAAAGGGTCAAGAAAAAATATAATTATAATGGCATTATAAAATGAAAGTAGAACTTGTTTGTATTTTCAAATAGGGTAAAATGTACAAATGGTTCTATGATTATAGAGTGTTGTTTTGTTAAATCTCTCGACTATTAAAAGTTATAAAATAGTTATGGATTATGGGGCGTTACTTTGTTGAATTCATCTACTCTTAAAAGTTACAGAACAATGCCCTTTAGTTAAAGAAATATTTCGTAACTTTTAATAGTCGAAAGACTTAACAAAATAGTGTTCTATAATCGAGGAATTGTTTTGCGTAATTTATCCTTTTAAATAATAATTGTCATATGTAATAATTTCTTAATCTTGCTTGCAAGCTATATTAAATAATTATTTTTCAAATCAATAAATAATGATAAATAAATAAAAGAAATCAAACCAATTCATAATAATAGTAATAATAAATTCTAAAATTATTTCATGTTAGCATACATTAGGGTTTGACAAATTGAATTTTGAATTAGATTTCTACAAATTAAACCTATAACTACTATTTTCCCATCAATTAAGTGGCATTGTTTTAATGTTGCGTTTTCTCAGTTTTATTGGCTAAAGTATTAGAACGGTTACTTTCATTTTATAAGTGTTTATTTCTTTATTTTAATTTACGAAAAAATATTTTGATCATTTATGTTATCGATATGTAATGATTTAGTTACTGAAACATAAATATTGTTAGTTTGATTGTATTATTAAATTTATGAAGTTTGAGACATTTTTTTGATGAAATATATATCAGATTCATGTTTATGAGATAAAAAAATAAGTGAAGTTAAAATTTTGGGTCTAACAATCGTCAATCTAACGACCAATGGCATATGATTTTGATTAGATTTAGGGGATAAATTGATATTGTATCTAAAGTTTATAGGTCAAATTAAAAATTAAGCCTAATACCAAAATAAGTGCCCAAATTATAGTTTTTTCTCAAATAGGTGCCTATAGTATTTTTTGGACCATTTAGATGTCTAATGCTACAAACTTGACCACTTTAAGTGCTCGGGACGTAATGACCCATTAGTTTTCTCCGTTAAGTGACACGCGTCACAATATGATAATTTTGAAATTTATTTTTTAAAAAAATATTTAAAATATTATTATATTTATAAAAATGCTTAATTTCTATTAAATTACAAAAAAATCTCAAAATCCCTAAAATCCCCAAATCCTAACACTAAACCACCACCGCCACCCTTTCTGGCCACGACCACCGCCACCGATGTAGTCTCTGCAATCGTCCTAGTTATATGTCACCGTAGTTATCGCCGATTGGTCGTCGAAAATCGCATGGGATCACGATTTGCATACTAGGGTTCGCGGGGTATAAAACGTCGATCGACTGTCGATATGTCACGATTTCGTAGGGGTTTTGGTCCCCAGCGGGAGGTGAGGTCGGGTGAAGCTTCGTCGACGACAAAGGGCGACGGTCGGCGTGGATTTAGGTGTTGAAATGAAGGTTTTCAATGTTTTAGGGGTATTTCGAAATTTATGTGTTCTCTTTTAAAATATATATATATATTTAAAAGTTTATATAAAAAAATTAAATTATAAGATTGTAACACGTGTCACTTAACGGAGGAAATTAACGTCATTGACGGTTCGAGCAATTAAAGTGATAACATTTGTAACATTAGTCACCTAAATGGTCCGAAAAATAGTATAGGTGTCTATTTGGGAAAAAGAGTTATAGGTGCCTCGGAGTACATATATCAAAGGTATGGTTCTTGGATTATGCTTGTGTTCATAAAAGCTTGATTAGTTGCATTAATGCATCATGAATCTTCCATCCTAATGTCTGCTACCTTTAGTCCATCATCATTACGGAACACCAAATGCTGAGGAACGGGATTATCTTCAGTACTTGGAAGTTGTCACATAAAAAAGCTGTTAGATTAGATGGAACAACTATCTAGTAGGAGAAAGAAAATTGTATCTAGTAGTTTCCCGTGTAATAAAACGATAACGAGGAATAAGAAAATCCAGCCTTGTGATTATTTACTTCATTAGTAAAATTTTTATTATAACTCTGGATCGAAATGCCAAATAGATCCCATTGGATTAGTTCCATATCATTGATCTTGATATGTTATTGAGGATTATCCAAGTTACTCCAAGACTTCGTTCTTATCGAAGTATCCATGTGCAACAGCCTTGTCTGATGCATAACAAGGCACGAATATGGGAATATGACATCCAAGAATCTCCAAATACATAGACAATTAAAGTGACCCCTCCGCACATGCAATTATGATTTTTAGGGTTTATGATTTAGAGTTTATGATTTTTTTGAAATTTTTAGGAACTTAGGAGTTTTTTTTTAGATTTTATTTAATTTAAAGTGTTTTTTTGGAAATTTTAATAATTTCATGGGTTTTTTAGAAAGTAACTTTTGGAATTCTAACTCATATTATGTACATTATGTTTGTGAAATCAAGTCAAAACTTTAAGTTGGTTTAGTGGTTAAGCCATGTTTTTTATTCAAATGATCCTGAGTTCAAATCCCCTCAAAAGCTAATTTTACTAAATTTGCTCAAACAAAACTATGTCGTTTTGGGTCTTTTAGCACCAAACACAGTCATGCTAAAACGACGTCGTTTTGTTGAGGGAGCCACGTCAACAACGTCACTGCACGGAGATGTCATGTCATCGTGCTGTTAATCCATTAACGGCGGAGTGGCAGAATTGCAATTAAACTTAAACGTTAGTGTTAAAATTGACAAAATTAAAACGTTGGTGGCATAAACGAGTCCAAGCCTAAAGGTGAGTGATATTTGAAGTATTTTACCCTATATATATATATGTATGTATCGGAGTTGTGTTTTAAGGTTTGTTTTCACCAACTTTCAATTCTTTAAATTTATTTATTACTTAGTTAATCTATTATGGTTTTATCAATTCTTAGCTAAATCTTCTTTCCATGATCTAAACCCCATAACTAAGGTCAAAGATCTTCTGATGAAGCACCAGGAATACTTACTAAAATTGAAACTCCATTCATGAAAACATATGATGTTCCAGGAATAATTAATTGATCTAAACACAAATAAAAATGCTGTTGATGGTTGGCTTGCATTGCAGTATTCAACTAGACAGCATGAATCAAATCATCGGCTCTCCAAATACCACCCAACGGAAGTTCAATCCAAATCCTGTCGCACTTTGCTGCCTCAACACACTTACGGTAGAGTCTCGACTGCCTTGGAGATGTGCTGCCATAAATCTAACTTTGGGGCATCAAAGTACCAGAAGCGAATATGGTATTTGCCAATACATTTGCTTCCCCACTGCTGGAACGAGAAAGAAGTGCACCCGATAACAACACCGGTTATTCAAATCATTTTCATAAACCCAATTCATCTTTGCAAAATCAAGCTTAAGGAGTTCCAAAGATGAGCTATCAGACAACAGTTGCAGATCTGCACCAGACACAATGAGTTTAGCATAGCGCACACTACTCCGTGAGAGTGGACAATGATCAACCAGAATAGTACACCCTTAAAGTTCAACATTGAAGGCACCCAATTGACCTCCTCTAAAAACACAATAGAAAACTCCGTTGGTGTAGGCAGCATCAACAGCACGATTAAACCGATCAAAACCATCAAACTCAAAGTCTTCCATGAACAATCACCGGCAGAACATAACTTAATACAAATTTTTCCATTTTCACTCCACAAAAGAAAGATGGTACATTTTGGGGAGGTTGCATTCAAGGCAAACGTCGCCACCTGAAATGTGGGAGGTCCCCCTAAATACGGAAGCCTAATTACCTCAGTTGTTAACGGAGAGTACAAAAAGAGGGACTCTTTTTTTTCTTCAATAAAGCCGTACACTTTGAAAAGAACCCACCCATATAAAGAAGCACAAGGTCGTGCCTTACGGAAAAGTAGATACTCTAGTCCTCTGCTCCTTTCTTCCACAAGGTACTCTCTGGAAAGAGGGTCCAGCAGCCGGCACTCACCTTGTATTAGATACAAAGAGGCATAACGCCAACAAAATTTCATTGCCCAGGGGAGTTCAACAATAGCAGGAATACAAGTGTTTGGGACTGGCCAAGCCTTGCAAACTGCTCGTATCCGGCTTCGATCTACCCAACGCAAACGTCCAATTATACGTTCAAGGATGTCGAGGGGAGATCCGCCAATTGGGCCCATGTCTACTCAGTCGCCACCTCTTTGAAATCCGTTTTTCCTTAAAATTTCTCGTACCAGTCGTAGTCATCTCTCCTATTGAGATAATTTCTGAGGATTTTCAAGGAAATGCGCAAGACTATTAGGCCTGAAAATAGCACAAAGCAAAGAGGCGCCAAGATTGCAGACACCAAAATCTAATTTAATGCAGCCGACCAGCCCCGCTAGGCCTGAAAATATTATGGCATAAAGGCAACATAATTAAATATATGATCGTCTAAATTAGGGAGTAACTAATCTGTACAAGGCAGTTAAGGGGAAAAGCTTCATAGAAAACATATAAGAGATTCGCATGAAAAAATATACAGCATTTGTACAATACTAGCAATTAAAAAAAAATCAAAATCAACCATTCTCCTTTCAGATTGTGTTGTTACAGACCAGACTGAGGTCAGGGGAGACGGAGAACTAATCATACAATACAGCTATGCTCAGGCAATAGTGCAGCTATGAACTGAAATTACTCGACAGAGTAGGAAGGTGAGGGATTAGTCGTGCATGTAACAAAAGTGTGATCAAGTGACTCGTAGTTGACGGGCAAGAGACGAAAGGTGGGAGATTTGCATGACAGGGTTCCTGGGAATTCTGTCTAAATCATCAATATTTTCAAAATTCTTATTTTTCCCTCCAAAAATGCTAATCTAAGCCAGTTAAAACCTGCCAATCCCAAATCCTAATCAAAACATGCAAAACAAAACAAAAATACAAAAATAATACTTAACAAAAGTAGATGGAAGGAATGATTTACCATTGATGATTTTGGGGAGGACTCTGAATTTCAAGATGGCTGTAAAAGGGGCTGCTTCTGGAAAGCTAACCTGCAGTTTCGGAAATAATAATAATAAAAAATCGAAATTTGGGGAAGTTAAATCATCACTCGAACAAAACTCGCACTTTGTGTTGGGAGCTTTGGATTAGAGGTATGAATGGTGGACCGGCACCGAAGCGAACCGCCGATTAAGGCTCATTGAGTATTGAAATCGCCCTACCCATGAAACACCTATAAATTAAGAACAAAGACAAGGAAGTCTAGCTTTGCGGCGGAGTAGAAATGAAGGTTTACGGCGGCACCAATTAGGGTTCAAATTAAGAAGCTTTGCGGCGGAAGCGAGACAATTGCAGAAATTTTGGGAGAATTTATACAAAACTTGCATAAGATAAAACTCCAACTTAATATTAGAAAATTTCTAAAATATTGATTTTATTATTAAACCAAATCATTTGTAGAGTTTGGAATCTCTTAATATTGATTAAAAGTAATAAAAAATAACATCATTTTTATAATTGATCTAAATATAATTGATTTTAAATTTAATTAAATATTATTTCTATTAACTATATAAAATTATTTAACGCAATATAGTGATTAAATAATAATTTATGTTTTATGCTCCAAGTTTGATTTTTAGAATTTAATTTCCATTTTTAGGCATAATTAGATGGGTATAGGTTGGGTTGGATCGGGTTTTCGATCAACCCGAGAAAAATACATTTTCTATCAAAAATTTGATTCAACCCTAGTTATGGTGACTCCACCCGACCTAAAACTCGACCAAAAACCCGACCAGTCTTTTAAAATAAAACATGTATTTGATCCAACACAAATATATAAACATATATAATATTTTTAATTTTATTTGATAAAATAAGGATCTAATTGAATATATATAGAGAGAGAGAATAATAATAATGCAATTATCTCTAAATATATAATGCATGTATACTTACATTATTTTTTGGATTGGGTCGGTCGAATAATTCTTCCAAAATCTGAACTTTAACTTATCTTCTAAAAAACTTAATCCAACTCAAACTTGAATTTTGAAAGAAAAAAAACATAAGCCACTAGGGTTGGGTCTCGTCGAAGACCATCAAGTTTGAGTCTTGTGCCCATTCCTAGGCATAATTTTAAAAAAATACGCCTAATATTTGATTAAATAGTTATTTAATTTCTTTTTTTTCTTTAAGCATTTTAGGTAAGATAACTTCTAACGTTTGACTAAATAGTCACTTTGACCTTATTCTTTTTTTAGCATTTTGACCAACTAATGTTTAATAAAGACAAAATATTCATATTTTGGAATATTAATTGTTTGTTGACTTTGATTATCATTCATTGAGAGACCTTTTATCTCAAAATAAAATTAGATGCCAAATACTCTAAAAATATAAAATACCAAAGTAACTACTTCATCAAATAATACAAATTTTTTAATATTATGTCTTTATTGTACAATCTTGTATCGATCATAGTTTAATTTAAATAATATTATGAATTAATGTGGTTAGTAAATAATATTGTAACTTTGAGCAGATGATGAAGTATGGACGAGGGTGATATAATTGAATTTTTTAAAGAAAAATGTGGACCCA